AAGTGCTGGAATTACAGGCATGAGCCACTGTGCCCAGCTCAAAAGCACTTTGAAAACAACTTCAGTATCCCCCAAAATGATCATTCTAGACATGGGAATAATAGGAGCACAGTGGCTTAGAGAGGTGTGCATGGAGGCTGGGCCAGGGACTTACTCCATGCTGGGCTGAACTGCAGAATGTAGCACCCCCTGCTAATGTAGGTAGGTGGGAGGGTAGCTGGCTGGCTCCTCTTGCATCTTTAGCACTTAAGAGTTCTGGGAGTATTGATTCTGGGATGACAGTGAATGTGCTGGGCCCTACCCTGGCAGAGAAAGCCTGTTTCTCATGTCCCCTGACTCAAGGGTTCCTAAAGACTGGGAGTGAAGCTGGGGAGGGGAATCCTTCAGCAGGTATAGAGGGAAAATGAGATGCTGTTTGATGTCTGGCACATAGACAGCACTCAATTACTATCTATGAGTGAACAAGTGGAATGTACAGTATAGTTTATGGTAAATTCAGAGACAACCAGATAAGTCTGAGTTCTATTAATAGTTCTACCACTAACTGCTCTGTGCTTCAGACACATCTCCTGACCTCTCTGAACTTCAAGAACATGAGTGTCTGTATTGGACTGGAGTCTTCCTCTTTATCTCTTTTTAAGAGATGGGGTCTTACTATGTTGCCCAGGCTGTAGTGCTATGTGATCCCACTATTGGTCCGCACAAGTGTCTTAACTTGTTCTGTTTCCTACATGGGCAGGTTCACCCCTGCTTAGGCAATCTGGTGGTCACCCACTCTTGGGAGGTCACCATATTTATGCCACTAAGTTCAGACACCAGAATGGCATAGCACAGTACGGCCCATAATTTCCAGCCTCAAGCAATCCTCTTGTTTCAGCCTCCCAAGTAGTCAGCACTACAGGCACACATCACCACCCCCTGCTAATGTTTTTCTTTTTATTTTTTTGTAGAGACAAGGGTCTCACTATGTTGCCCAAGATGATATCAGACTCCTGAGCTCAAGCAATCCTTCCTCCTTGGCCTCCAAAGCACTAGGATTACAGGTGTGAACCACTGCACCCGGCCTGGAGTCTTCTTTACAAAGACCAGAAGCCATATTCCCACTTAACTCCTGAGCTTAAACCAAAAAGGAAATTTCTCACTCATATAACTGGGAGGGGCACTAAGGCAAATACTGTCGCTTTGGGGCAGAACACAAAGTCTCCAAGACTCTTTGTCTTCGCTTCACTTCTGCAGATAGGCTCTATCCACATGGCAGAGAAGGTGGCCATTTGCAGCCCAAATCCAGATTTGGAAAGAGGTCTGGCTTCTCTGTCTCAACATCAAGAGGTTTTCATGGGCCCTGTTTGGTCCCAGTAAGACCTAGGTCACATGCCTGATCCTATAGTGCGGGAAGTGGATTGTGTTACCAGGAAGGGAATAGAAAAGCCCAGTGGGCAGATAAAACAATAATTATTCATGTTATAGCTCTTTTAGAATTCATCTAGCAGGCTTTCCGGTTTTTACCAGAAAGCCCCCTGAAGAAATTTTTCAAAAGAACAACAATAATTATTACAGTACCTACAATGCCTAAAGGCTTCATAGGTATGTGTGTATATTGGGAAAGACTGAGTCCTTAAAAATGCAGCACAAAAGTGACCAGAACAAGGCTTCGCCAATTCACAGTTATTATTATTAGGAACCAATCGTATGGCTCCTATTACCTGTCAGACTCTGCATTAGGCTAAGTAAATGTTTTTTGTTTGTTTTTGAGATGAAGTCTTGCTCTGTTTCCTAGGCTGGAGTGCAGTGGCGTGATCTCAGCTCACTGCAGCTTCTGCCTCCCCGGTTCAAGTGATTCTCCTTTCTCAGCCTCCTGAGTAGCTGGGAATACAGGTGCACGTCACTACCCCCAGGTAACTTTTTAAAAATTTTCTAATTTTTAATTTTTTTTCTTTATTATTATTTTTTAATAGAGATGGGGTTTCACCATGTTGGTCAGGTTGGTCTCAAACTCCTGACCTCAGATGATCCACCCACCTCGGCCTCCCAAAGTGCTAGGATTACAGGCATGAGCCACCACACCTGGACTTTTTTTTTGTATTTTTAATAGAGACAGGGTTTCACCATGTTGGCCAGGATGGTCTCAATCTACTGACCTCATGAGCCACCCTCCTCAGCCTCCCAAAGTGCTGGGATTATAGGCGCAAGCCACAGCACCCGGGCAGTATATGAGGGTTTTTAACTTTTTAATTTATTTTTATTTTTTTAAAGATGGGGTTTCACCATATTGGCCAGGCTGGTCTCAAACTTCTGACCTCAAGTGATCTGCCCACCTCAAACTCCCAAAGTGCTGGGATTATAGGTGTGAGCCACTGCACCTGGCCTCCAAACGGCACACTTCTCAAAGACTTAATCCCCTAGTCGGTGACCCTACCTAGAATTTTCTTGAGTCTGGCCTGCTGGGTGGTAGGAAATGGGGATGGGGTGCTTGGAGGGATGCTGGCATGGTGAAAAATAAAAAGGAATCATCTCTCACCTGAATGATCAGAATACCTGCAGCTCCTAAATGTTCCCCCAGCCTTTGTGCAGCCCCTCTGGGTCATTCAACAGTATACAACCGGAGTGATGCTCCTGGGATACCATCATCCCTCCTGCACCCACCCCTGCCTCCATGCCTCCCCAGTGCCTTATGGAGGCCTCCCAGGCTCCTCCAGACCTAGCCGCTGCCGACCTTGCCAGCTTTCACCACTGCCCCTCGCACTTGGGAAGGCATGAGACTTGGAAACCTCCCCATAGGTGGCTATTTAAAAGTAATTAAATTGTTAATGAACAATTCAGTTCCTCAGTCACACTGGTCACATTCCAAGTGCTCAATGACCCTCAGTGGCTGGTGGCTACTGTACTGGACAATGCAGATAGAGAACGTTTCTATCATCACAGAAAGTTCCACTGGACAGCACTGGATTGGACTATTCTCTTAACAAAGGGGGCCCTTTTAAAGGAATGTTATCAGCTTTAGAGGAATCCAGAATAGACTTGACCTATTTGATGACTCTTTCAATAAATATTCGCCACCCACTGTATTCCAGGCCCTGAATACACAACAGTGGACGGTAGTAGCCGGTCTGTCCTGGGAGTGAAGAGGCAATGGCTTAAGTATCTGGGCCCAGGCTGGGGGAGCGGTGAAGGTTCCCTGGACACGGGGCCATCTGCGCAGGCCTGCAAGCTGAGGAGGCACTGGGCAGGCAGGACGTTCCTTTTTGCCCTCAGGCCCCAGTTAGAGGCTGTCCCACTGCCTGGCTGCTCCTCCTCTCTTTCTCCCCAGGGAGGGGAGGAACGGAGGCTAGTTCCTTGAAGTTAGTCCCTGAGCTGGGAAAAATCAAGGGTCCCTGTTGGGCCATTAACTCAGGAGCTGTGAGCTGTAACTTCTACTCCCCCACCACAGGCCTCGTGGCTGCCGGGCTCAGTAACAATAGGCTTCTGAGCCTGGGGCCTTTATGGCCGGAGTGGAGAGCTGCTCTAGGGAAGTGGAACCTGCCAAGCCGTAGTGGGTATACTGGGGGCCTGACTGTACCCTGAGGCCCAGCCCAAGGTGTGAGGCCCGGACCAAGGTGCCAAGCTCAGCAACCTCCACAGCCCCTGCGTGCCTGCGGGATGAGGCTGGGGAAGGTGTGGCGGGTGGAGGGAGCCAGGCCTGGGCCAGCGGCGCTGAGAGCGTGTCTTGGGGGTCTCCTATCCTGCTGCTTCTGCTAGAAGCTCCCGCTGTGGGTCCCCTCCTCACATACACACACTGGCGTCCACCCCCCACCCTCCAACGGCGCCGCCGGCCCCAGCTTACGCCCCTCCTAGTGCCTTGACCGGTGACTGTGTCCTTGCAGCGATTTTGACAGTGGCAGCTAATTGGCCGGAATTTGGAGAGTGTTTCCTTGCCCCCTCAGACACCCCTTTACGTGGCATGTCTCACTTAAGCCTCCTAACCCGAGGACGTTGACGTAGGGATGATTATTTTCCCTTTATTACAGGCAAGAAATGAAGGCTCCGAGGCGGTAATCCGCAGGAGCCGGCAGTGACGGAGGCGGCCGTCCACGCCCTGCCGCCCCGCACCCCGCCTCCCGCCTCCCGCCTCCCGCCTCGCGCTGGCATCTCCGCGTCCTCGGTGCCCGCCCCATCTCCGCTGGGTTTCCGCGCCTCCGGGCCGGCCAGAGCCCGGGGTCGAAGGGCAAGCAGGGCCGGGGAGTCCGGGGGTTCGGAGTGGGGTAGGGGGTCCGGGCCCTCGGTGCCGGCCCGAGCTCGAGGCTGCCGCAGAAGCGCCCTTTGTTTCGCGGCGCTGGCGGCTTTGCGTAGTCACGGTCACATGGCGCTTCTGGCACGGGGTGTTCCGGGCGCCGCGCCAGGGCCGAGGCGCCCCCGCCCGTGGCCTGCCCCCTGCCGCCCGACGCCCTCGCCCGCTTGCAGGCCGCCGGCCACCCGGTGTTCCCCAGGCCTCGGGGTCCGCACCCTGTCTTTCAGCTCCGCCTGGCCGCCCCCAAGCTCCCGCCAGCCATCCTGTCTTCTCTGAGCACCACTGTTGAGAGTTCCCTAGCTTTTCATTCTAGACTGAAGCATCACATACAAATGTTTCCCGGGCCCACTGTCTCCCCTGTTCTAAACAACACCAAGCTCCCAAAATCAGGCTTATCACTCCTCCAGGGAGCGCTGTACAGTGGATAGGTGTTGGAGGAGTCGGTAATGGACTCCATTCTCCTCGTTCAATAGTGTGTCAGAGACAGCACTGGGCCTCCCTCCCTTTCCCACTTCAGCCCCTACAAAGCAAAACAAAAATCAGCCATATGGCCTGGCTTCTGGGCACAGAGCAACTAAAGGTAAAAGTCCCAATCTGGGGTAGAAACAACTGGCCCTTTCTGCCCTGGCCTGGCTCCTGCATCTCCATTAACTGCGGGCTAGTCTGCCCTGTGACACTTGAGAACCATGGGCCTCCTCGTGCAGGCCACCTCTGCTTCATGTAGCAGCTTCAAGAATTCATTCCACAAATGTTTATTGAAAGTGAAACACTTGTGCAAGGTAGGCCAGTCCCTCCCAGGGTACGCTAGGACCCCAAGTGGATGTGAGAGGACCGCTATTTGCTGTTCCAGCAGTGCCTGTGCTGTCCCCTGACTGGTCTAGGCCACCACGGTTCCTTCATCCAGGACTTAGTGAGTTGGGTGGACACCTGCATTCCTGGAGGCCAGGAAGAGGTGTCAGCCCTGGAGAGGCAACAGGGAGGCTGACATCACGCTCTAGGTGAACATGGGGTGGGTCTTCAGGACCCTTCCCAGGGTCTTCAAGCAGCTTTTCTCCATTAATGCCGATTGTGGGCATGGGAAAGGCTAGGGTGAGGAGTGGGGAAGAGAGAGAAGAAAGCCCAAGGTGGGGCGGGGCAAGAAGCAAACTCCACAGGCGCTGTGTACCTTGCTGTGGGCTCAGGGCTTGGTGGGAAGGCTCAGGCAGGTGAGTTCCCGGCTGCCACGGTGTCTGTCCACAAGGGGTAGGGGGTGCCGAGTGAAGTGCTGGACCATGGCTGCCACAGAGGGGAAGAGCTGGACAGGGAGGGAGGGCATCTGTGAGTCCCGTGACCCTCATGCTGGGAGCAACTTCCTGAGGCAACTGTGGGACTCTGGCAAGGTGGCTTTTGACACTTTTCTAGATATCTTCCATCCCTTTTGCCCCATGCAGCTCCACTGCCATTTTGCTGCCTGATTCCAGGCCTCAGGCAGCTTTCCTGCTGCTGCACCCATGGGCACGACACTGGCCAGACCCTTATGTCCAAGGCTAGATCAAACAGACTCTAGGGCATACCTCTGCCCAGGTCCTCCAGGGTGGGGAGCTGAGTGGTGGGTGACTGTCTCTAGTTTGCACCCCAGCAAATGCTGGGTGTGACGTAGAGTCCTCAGGGGAGGTAGACAAGATTCTGAAGAATCTGGACCCTGCCCTCCTCCCAACTGGGTTCATTAGAGACACAAAGGCCCCCACCTCGACCCTGTGCAGACTGAGCCATGGCAGGAGGAGCACCTCCACCCCCAGAGGGTGGGCCTCTTCCCAGAGTGCCAGGTGTCTGGGAAGGAGTTCAGGGCTCTGGGCTCTGTCATTTCCACCCACCCCAGAAACACAAAATTTGGGTTTTTCCCTAGGCAAATGCTCGTGGCTGGGCCTCGGGTACTGCTCTGCTGCCCCTCCTTAGGCCCGTGCCTCCTCCAGCTCCCACCTCCTCATGGTTCCTGCCCTCCCGGCCTAGGGCATAGTGGCGCCCGCCATCCAGCCGCCGGATGGGAATGTTGAAGACCCGGCCTCGGAGAAGCACTGCCAGGGTGAAGGGCTGGGAGCCATGAGGCCCCGAGCTGGGGCGCACGGTATAGGCCCCGTCCTGTAGAGGAGACCCCAGCCATCAAACTCATCTTCCAATGGTCCTCCCACCGCCCCAACACATGATGGGGCCAGAACCCTCCTGGCTCTCCTGTGCCCCACTGCTGGGCTGGCCACAGCATGTGAGCAGAAGGGGTTTTGGAGAAGGCCTGGGCTCCGTGGCTGCCCACCTTTTCTAAGCGGAGCAGGGCACTCTCAACAGCACGGCGGTCACAGTTCCCTGAGTACCAAGGCTGAGCCAGCAGGTCGCCATCCTGTGCATACACACAGCCACTCAGAGATGTGCTAGGGCTCTGGTTGGGCGTGGGGTGCCGAGGACCCAGGGTGCAGTTATTTGTGTTCCCATTGCCTTTGCTCAACTGAGTCCCCGGCAGGCGGGGTGTCCCACATGTGTGTTCAACATGTGTTCTCGCGGTGGTGCACCCTTCAGCCCAAGAGGATTCCTGGGTGAAGACCCTTAGGCTTTGCTCCCAGAACCCCTCCCCACAGCCGGCTCCCAGCCCCTCCTCACCTCAACAGCTGAGGTGCTCCCAGTGGGGGCTACAGAGGGAGGAGACAATTTCCTTCCTGCCAGAAGAATCAGATTATAGAGCTGGGGCTTCGTTGGGGTGGACAAGGGAGGCTTCTAGAGGACAGGTGCAGGGGTGGGGAGCAGGAGGAGGAGTGTATGGGCCCAAGTGCAAACCCAGGCACCCGGTGCTTCTCCCACTCTCCAGGTCCAGTGCCCTGGCAGGACCCACCAGCCAGGCCTCGTGTGACTTCCAAATGAGGTGTGATCTTGGGGCACAGACTAGGAGCTTCCTGATTTGGCACAGACCCTCAAAAATCCCCAAGGGTCCCCTCAAGCCTGATCTCAGCTGGAGTCAGAGCTTCAGGGACATCCTCAGGAAAGTGAGGCCTGAGATAGTCTGGCCTGCAGGGCTGGGGCTGGGGTAGGCCCTGGCAGGACCACCTACATTCATGCTGAAGATGCCTGCAGTCACCTACTTTTTTTTTTTTAAGACTAGCCAAGTGCAGTCGTGAGGATCAGGGAAGGAGTTCGATCTGTAACTGACTGTGAACAATCAGTTGGGATAACTCACTACCTTTGGACAAGCCTGTACTCACCTTTAGATGTGGCATCTGCTGCGCCCTGGAACACAGGAGGTCTGATCAGAAGAGGCTGGGTCCTGCAGGCCTGCCGCCCAGGCTCCAGGTCCCACCCTGAGTCTCCCTCCCTGCCTCCCTCTCTTCTCCCCTGACCATTAGCCTCTTACATTCCAAGTTTCCTGGGGGGCTGTGGGCCTGTGGGAAGAAAATTGGGGGACAGAACTCAGGGTCTTTATGTTTTTCAAGAGAAAGAGCCAGTGAATCCAGCATCAAAGCTGCCCCTGCCACCACTGCCAATGGCCCTGGGACAGTGCAAGGAGATCCCATCCCAGGGCCAGGGCTGGGGAAGGCTGAATTGGGGTGCTGTTTGTGTGTGTGTGTGTGTGTGTGTGTGTGTGTGTCTCACACACACACGAACCTGGTTGGGGCACTTACCTGGGTACCCTGGGCAGAAGCCCTGAAGCCATCAGGACTTGGGAGCTGAGAGTCTGAGTCAAAGCCAGGACTGAAACAGAGAGGGCAGGCTGGGCTCGGCTGGGCACCAGGCAGGGAACCCACGGTGGCCAGGGCTGGGCTGAGGACAGCTGCAGGGCCTGCTGCTTCTCTGCAGCCTGGACTTTCTGGGAGTGCTTCCAACCAGAGGCAGATGCTGTTCTGGCTGCAGCAGCTGGGAGCCCCACCCAGCCCATGCTTTAAGGGGGGCACCTCCCCTGCCAGCACAGCATGGGTCAACCCGGACCACAGACGGAAGTGTGATGTCCATGCAGTGACTGAAGGCAAATACATGTTGTTGGGGGTGGTGAGAGGTGGCAAGGGAAGCAGATGGAGCCAGGAGAGTGTGTCATGCTGTGGGCAGCTGAGGGCCTCGGGCAGGAGGGGTCTGGAGCTGAGGGAGCGGCTCACCTGGATCGGGCTCACATTCCAAGTAGAGGTCCTCATCAGGTTTCTTTGGAAGGCCTGGTACCTAATGTAGGGAGGGGTGTGTGGGACCATGGTTTGCCCAGTCCTGGGGTTCCATTTAGGACTAGGGGTCCTGGGGGAGGAGCCATTAATTTGGAGGAGTGGCACGCACCCCACTCCCGCCTCACACAGTGACCCTCTTTCTGGGAGCCAGCTTGAATGATTACAATTTCTCCTCTGCCTGAGAGGGGCATCCCACAGGCACCTTCCCCTTCAGAAGTGCCCATGGGCCCCAGCTCTCAGAGAGTGTGAGGAGGAGCCCTGAGCGGTACCCTCAGGACAACTGGCTCACGTCTGCCAGGGGCCTGTGGCTGAGAGGCAGGGGCTCTGCTCTGAGCCTTTTCCCTTGGTTTCAGGGATATTTCCTGGGCCTCCCTAGCCCCCCACTCCACCCCACCGCTGCCAGTTTCCTAACCAGAACCCCAGAATGTGAGGCGGAGATGGAGGGGCTGCTCACCATTCTGGATGATGCACCCTGCTCTGGAAGGAAAAGAAGAGAACCACCTGTCATGCGCAGCAGGGAGAAGAAAGGAATTCAGTGGGACTGAGGCTGGAAGAGCAGAGTCTTCTTAGGGCGCCTCTGAGGAGGGCGTCTAAGTGTCAGCTTTGAAGCCCCAGGAGAAAGCTTTCCTTATCCCCTGATGATTCTCTGCACAGCCTATGGTGTTGCCTGTCCTGACCTCCCAACTGACTTGTCAGGCCTCGCTCCAAATGACTTTGGACTGTTCAAAAAAATTATAGCAGCTGGGCACAGTGGCTCATGCCTATAATTCCAGCACTTTGGGAGGCCGAGGTGGGTGGATCACTTGAGGTCAGGAGTTCGAGACCAGCCTGGACAGCATGGTGAAACCCCCTCTCTACTAAAAATATAAAAATTAGGCGGGGCACGGTGGCTCACGTCTATAATCCCAGCACTTTGGGAGTCCGAGACAGGTGGATCACGAGGTCAAGAGATCGAGACCATCCTGGTCAACAAGGTGAAACCCCGTTTCTACTAAAAATACAAAAATTAGCTGGGCATGATGGTGCACGCCTGTAGTCCCAGCTACTCGGGAGGCTGAGGCAGGAGAATTGCTTGAACCCAGGAGGTGGAGATTGCAGTGAGCCAAGATCATGCCATTGCATTCCAGTCCAGTCTGGGTAACAACAGCGAAACTCCGTCTCAAAAAAAAAAAAAAAAAAATTAGCCAGAAATCGCTTGAACCCGGGAGGTGGAGGTTGCAGTGAGCCAAGATCATGCCATTGCACTCCAGCCTGGGCAACAGAGTGAGACTCTGATTTAAAAAAAAAAAAATCAGAGCAGTCGAGCCAAAAACAATTTTTAAAAAGTAGACCAGACTCTGCTTCTGTGTGATCTTAGGCATAGCATTTCATATCCCTGGGCCTCAGTCTCCTCATTCATTTCATTAGAGGCAACGCCAACTGCCTGCCTACCTTAGAAATCTGTAGGTAAGGCCAGGCACGGTGGCTTATGCCTGTAATCCAAGCACTTTGGAGGTCAAGGCAGGCGGATCACCTGAGGTCGGGAGTTCAAGACCAGCCGGACCAACATGGTGAAACCCCATCTTAAAATATAAAAAAAAAATCGGTAGGTAAAAAGGGGCATAGCCATGTGGGTCTCATACTCTCGTTCTCATACTGTGCCCCTTCATGGGCACATCCCTTGGTGCCATGAAGGGGCAGAGTATGAGACCCATGTCAGACAAGCACAGCTCTACCCTGTGGCAGGAGGACTCCCTGTCCCAGGGATGGAGCCACGAAAAGAGAGGACATCACACTACCTCGCCTTCCGAAGACAGGTGCCTGCTTCCCGGTCGCCGGCAGGCTCACTCCTCCCTTCAGCTGTGGGCACAATGGGGGCCGGTGAGGGCAGATGGAGGGAGGAAACTGAGGGCGAGATGGGACAGGATGGGACCACTTGCATCCGTGTAGCTTTAAAAAATGTACAATACAGACGACTCTTATCTTTGCTTTTACTCTGTGACTCTTTCTTTGTTGTGAATCACTCCTGCTTTTTACAAAAATTCTAATGAAATGTATGATAAAGGTAGTAGTTTTCAAAATCCGAAAAGTCCCACTGGGATCAAGGTGGGAATGAGAGCTGGCAGTGACTGGCAGCTGAGGTAGGGACTTCGTCACTCCGGAGGTGGAGAGGGGTCCTCAGGTCTCAGAACCCAGGGAAAGGGCAGCTGAGCCCCTTCCCTCCCCCTCAGGCAGGTGAGAAGGATACCCTGGGTGAAGCTGAGGGGAGGGTGGAAGGACCAGGCCAGGAGTTGGAGGAGTGACTGACAGCGGCAGGGCTCTGGCTTCTCCTGCATCTGGCATCTGATTTTTCAGGGGCCTCTTGAATGCAAATGTGGGGGTATTTTGCAAATGAGATGCCTCTAAGATTCACTCACTGGGAAATGGCAGCTTGGGGTGGGGTGGGTGGGGAAGGAGGGACTTCTGGGCAGGCCTCTCACCATGGTGGGCTGAGGCAGGGGTGGCTTGGATGGACCCAGGGGGCCAGAGTGATCTGGAAAAGACCGCATGTGTTGTGAGTTGGTGGGTTCCTCCCAGGCGGGTTCCCATTTTCCTTCCCCCACCCACCTACCTAGTCTCCATTTCCTCCTCCTTCCCTCGCTCCCCTTGCTCATTGGCTTCCTGACAGCCCAGTCTCCATGGCAACTGGAGGCAGGCAGTTTCCTTGCCCCCACCTGGCCGAGGAGCTGAGCAGTGGGGGTGGGATGCCAGCGGCAGCCAGGGCTCTCCCAGCACCCCCGCCCTTGGCCTGAAGAAGTGTTGGGATCTCAGAAGGGGAATGCCAGGCCCCCACTGTTGCCTTGGTTACACCACCCCTCCTTTTCCCTTCCCACTCTTCTTCCTCCCTTCCGCCCTCCCTCCCTCATCTCTCTCTCTTTCTCTCTCTCTGCCTAGCCAAGAGGCCCCTATGGCTGCCAGCTGAAGCCTCCCTTCCTGCCTCAGCACAGGCAGGGGAGGAGAGGCAAGGCCTCTGCGCTCTAATCTTGTGGGGACCCTCCTGCCCTGCCCAAGCACCCTGCCTCCCACCTCCCAGCCCTCACCCAGGTACAAGGAGTCCTCCTCCGTGCCAGGAAGGTGGGCAGGGGCTAGACTGAGGGGCAGAGCCTCACAGGGGGGAAGCTCATACTTATTTTCCTCCTCGTCCTCCTCCTGGGCCTGGAGGAAAGGATGCTCAGTGAGCGGAAACGGAGGGGAGAGGGTGTTCAGCACAGGCTCTGGCCATTGCCTCCTCCACCCCAGCCTCAGCAGCCAGACTCACCTTGTGTCTCCAGGTCCCTGGGGCAGGCAGAAAGGATGGGCTGGGGGCATCTTCTCTCCAACCTGGGGAGTCTGCACAGACAGGCTAGCTTCACCTCGTCCCTGCCCACCTTTCCCCCAGTATAATAAACCATCTGCCCTTGACAGTGCCAGTGCTTCAGCTCAAAGGTACCACTCATCACAGGCATTTCCAATGCTGCCGCAGGGACACTGAGGTAGGCATTTTGGAAACAAAGGGCCCTTCCACCTATGCCCATCCCCTGCCTTCTGCAACCCTGATTCTGGCCAAGACAGATGGGAGAGCTAGGCCCCTGTGACTCAGCAGTGCTGGGCTCTGGGAGGTAGGAGGTGTGCAGTCACTGGGGGGACCTGTAAGGGATTCCAGTCTGTTGGCCCCCTCTTGCCCACTGTATCACTTACCCACACATCTTGGGGGTGGGAGCGGTGGCCCCAGCCTGCAAGCACACTCTAGTCAACTCTGCCCAAGGGACCCTTGAGTTTGTATGAGACAGACACTGTGTTCTGGGACATTCATATCTATGACAGTGTGACTGACAGAGACCTTGGGACCAGGGCAGCAGAGAAGGAGGCTGCGGGCAGAGCTAGCGCTTGTGGGCGCACAGCTGTATGAGCTGGTGCCCTGGGGAAGCCCTAGGGCTGACTAAGAGATGGAGGCATGTGAATGGTCTCCCTGGGCAGAGAGGGTCCTGGCAGAGCCAGCACAGCTCCTGGGATGGCTGTGCCCAGGAGAGGAGGGGTAGAGAGAGACAGGAGGCGGGGGAGAGAGGAGCCCCAGTACTCACCCGGGCCTGCTCCCACTGAGCTTGTCCTGGAAAGAGCGAGGGTGGGGAGAAGAGGAGTCAGTGCAGCCTCTCCCTGGCTGAGTCCTGGGCATGCCAGGTGGGCAGGTTGGTGTGCCTGGGGCTGCCCGAGGACCACATCTTACCATGGCAGAGGCAGAGGAGTTTTGCCTCCCTGGAGCCTGGGATCTGCCCCAAATGGCCTGGGGACAAGGGCTCCATTGTTCCCATCATTTGCATCTCCTAAGCACCAGGAAGATGGATCTGCTGTGGCCTCCAACCCCAGACCAGCTTCATCCAGGATACTCCCAGGGCCCAGCCCCAGCAATCTGAGCCTCCCCTAGGTGGGCCATCCCCACACTGTGGTCTCTAGCCCCTCTGCCGACAGCAGGAAGAGCTAAGCTGGACCAGGGTTCTCAGGCTTCCTTCAGCTCTCTGATCAGCGTCGCCTTTCTCATTTCATAGACATTACATTATTTGGCAGATCCAATTAAAAACAGCAGGCTGGGCTTGCAGTTTTCTTAAACCTTTACTACTGTTGGCATTTGCTGGTGAGTGGTGACCAATGGTCAGGGAAATGAGGGCGAGGGAAGCGTCTAGACAGAGGCGCTCATATTTAGTGGGGCAGCTTCACTTTTCGATGGATGTATTTATCCATTCAGTGGGTATTTATTGAACATCCACTGTCTGCCAGAGACTGTTCCAGGCCTTAAAGATGCCGTAAGAAAACGAAACGGGCAGGCATGATGTATGTTTCCCCATCAGAGTCTCACAATAACCTCATGCTGCAAGTACTAGTTTTATCCCTGCTTTTCAAATGAGGAAACTGAATGTATTAGTCAGCTGGGGCTGCCATAACCAAAACCCACAAACTGTGTGGCTTCAGCAACATAAATGCTCACTGTTCTGGAGCTAGAAGTCCAAGATCAAGGTGCTGTAAGGGTTGGTTTGTGATGCAGCTTCTCTTCCTGGCTTGTAAACAGCTGCTTTCTCTGTGTCCTCACATGGCCTCTTGTCTGTGCAGGCACAAAGAGAGGTGGTTCTGGTAACCCTTCTTCTTATGAAGACACCCACACTATCAGATTAGGGTCCCACCCCCATGACCTCATTTATCCTTAATGACCTCCCTAAAGACCCTACTTCTAAATAGTCACATGGGGGTTTAGGATTTTAGCATATGAATTTGAAGGAAACACAATTCAGTCCTAACACTGAGGCTCTGAGAAGTGGAATAGCTTTCCTGAGGTCATGCAATTAGCAAGTGTTAGAGGTGGGATTCAACCCCAGCTCTGCCTGTCCCAGAGCCCGTGCCCTAGAGGCTAAACGTCCTGTATCTCTCCAGGATTGGGTCAAAACCCTCCTTTTGCTGGGCATGGTGGCTCACGCCTGTAATCTCAGAACTTTAGGAGGCTGAGGAGGGTGGATCACCTGAGGTTGGGAGTTAGAAACCAGCCTGACCAACAGGGAGAAACCCCGTCTCTATTAAAAAAGTTAAAAAAAAAAAAAAAAAAAAAAAGACCTTCCTTTCCTACGATGGAATTAATTAGCAGTGCTAATTGTGACCTTTCTTTTCTCTCTCTCTCTTTTTTTTAAGATGGGGTTTCACCGTGATGGCCAGGCTGGTCTTGAACTCCTGACCTCAGGTGATCCACCAGCCTTGGCCTCCAAAGTGCTTGGATTACAGGTGTGAGCCACCGCGCCCGGCCAATTGTGACCTTTCTTAAGGAGCTCATGACTTCCAGGGGCTCTGTTACCTGAGTGAATTTTGGAACCTTGACTTTCTGAGAAGGTTACGATAAAAAGGAGGGCTGGGGCCTGGTGTCTGACTCTAAGTCAGGGAATGAGGAAACACAGATCACAGTCATTGTGCTTATTATTTTGGCGGCATCCTGGCTCTTGGCACAAAGGAGAAACGAAGCCCAAGTGCTTGCAGCTTTGGAAGCCACCAGGCTGGGGGCACTGGGGAGACACCCAGGGATGGAGAGGAAGACCAGACAATTCCTGGGATCTGCAGGCAAAAGGGCACCCAAGAAACCAAGAAAAGTCATTGGGTGGTTTCACAGGGAGCCATTTGGTACAGAGGGAAAAACTGAAAAAACACAAAGAACAAATCCTCACCCAGAATTGGTCCTGCTGGGTCTGTTCTTTGTCCTCCACTCCCAGCTGACCTTTCTTCCACATTTGAACCATAGGCAGGGGGCAACTTCCCTCATCCAAGGGGACCTCCTTTGGAATCAGGGTCAGTGAGAGGTTCTGGACACCACCCCACTGTAAACCTCAGCCTGAGTGAGTTTCCCAGTCCATGCTGCCCTCACTCCAGCCACCTCCCTGCTCTGTTTGGGGCTTTGCATAGGCAAATGCCAAGGCCTGGGTGAGTGAAAGGGCCCCAGGCAGAGGGCAGAGTCCATCCTATCTGGGTGGGGACACTGGCCTGGGAGATCTAGGAGAAGGGGAAGGAAAGAGGCCTGCCTCAGTGGCCTTGTCTGGTCACACAGGCAGATTGGGACATCCTCTTTATCCATCTTTGGCACGGAATTGTTCTGTGCCCACCATAGGTATTCCCTGGGTATGAATTCCTGGAAGCGGACTTACTAGAAACTCACATTTTGAAGCTTTCATGCCCCGTTGTCTGCAGGACCTGAGTGCCTGTTTTATGATCCTTCCATAGTGCAAAGTGACTCTCCAAAGTTTTCAGGTCTTAGCTACTGAAAACGGGCCATGGGCTCAAGTAGCCTAAATCCACCCTCAGAAAACACATAGTGGTGTTTAGAGAAAACTCAGGTGGATTTTCCCCTGTTCTCACACACAACAGTCAACCCAGAGGAGACTTCTGTGACCAAATGTGGTGGTGGCGGGGTAGGTGGTTCTCCCCAGCACCAAGTGAGCAATCAGTTCTGCCACGGACACCAGTGGGGTGTCCTCCAATTCAATTCCAACACTACCTACCTGGAGTCAGAGTCAGATCCCACAGGTGGAGGGCTCAGTCCCCAAGACGCCCTGCCACCCCAGATACCAGTCACAAATCTAGGCCTCCAGGACTTCGGAACAACTGGCTTCAAGCTGGGGTTCCCACAACCTCCTCTTGGGGGTTGATTTGCCGGAGCAACAGCTCACAGAACTCAGCAAAACATTTGCTTAGGTTTACTGGTTTATTATGAAGGATATTGCAAAGGATACAGATGAAGAGATGCAGAGGGCAGGAATAGAGGGAAAGGATGTGGAGGCTCCATGCCCTCCCTGGGCACACCACCCTCCAGGAGCCCAGGCTAGTGTCCCCACCCAGATAGGATGGACTCTGCCCTCTGCCTGGGGCCCTTTCACTCACCCAGGCCTTGGCATTTGCCTATGCAAAGCCCCAAACAGAGCAGGGAGGTGGCTGGAGTGAGGGCAGCATGGACTGGGAAACTCACTCAGGCTGAGGTTTACAGTGGGGTGGTGTCCAGAACCTCTCACTGACCCTGATTCCAAAGGAGGTCCCCTTGGATGAGGGAAGTTGCCCCCTGCCTATGGTTCAAATGTGGAAGAAAGGTCAGCTGGGAGTGGAGGACAAAGAACAGACCCAGCAGGACCAATTCTGGGTGAGGATTTGTTCTTTGTGTTTTTTCAGTTTTTCCCTCTGTACCAAATGGCTCCCTGTGAAACCACCCAATGACTTTTCTTGGTTTCTTGGGTGCCCTTTTGCCTGCAGATCCCAGGAATTGTCTGGTCTTCCTCTCCATCCCTGGGTGTCTCCCCAGTGCCCCCAGCCTGGTGGCTTCCAAAGCTGCAAGCACTTGGGCTTCGTTTCTCCTTTGTGCCAAGAGCCAGGATGCCGCCAAAATAATAAGCACAATGACTGTGATCTGTGTTTCCTCATTCCCTGACTTAGAGTCAGACACCAGGCCCCAGCCCTCCTTTTTATCGTAACCTTCTCAGAAAGTCAAGGTTCCAAAATTCACTCAGGTAACAGAGCCCCTGGAAGTCATGAGCTCCTTAAGAAAGGTCACAATTGGCCGGGCGCGGTGGCTCACACCTGTAATCCAAGCACTTTGGAGGCCAAGGCTGGTGGATCACCTGAGGTCAGGAGTTCAAGACCAGCCTGGCCATCACGGTGAAACCCCGTCTTAAAAAAAAGAGAGAGAGAGAGAAAAGAAAGGTCACAATTAGCACTGCTAATTAATTCCATTGTAGGAAAGGAAGGTCTTTTTTTTTTTTTTTTTTTTTTAACTTTTTTAATAGAGACGGGGTTTCTCCCTGTTGGTCAGGCTGGTTTCAAACTCCCAACCTCAGGTGATCCACCCTCCTCAGCCTCCTAAAGTGCTGGGATTACAGGCAAGAGCCCCTTGATGGGTTGGGTGTGGTCGGACCCTGTGGCTCCTCATCCATGCAACTACACTCTGATAACAATCTGATAACTCTGATTACCTTTCGAGGGGCATGTATTTTTAGTAGAGACAAGGTTTCACCATTTTGGCCAGGCAAGTCTCAAACTCATGACCTCATGATCTGACCGCCTCACCCTCCCAAAGTGCTGGGATTACAGGCGTGAGCCACCGTGCCAGGCGTTTAGAGGCTTTTGTTAGGATGTTGGCTGTGTTAGGCCTTGGGAAAGAGAATCTCTCTGGCCTTCTCCTGTCCTCCTTTCACCTACCCAAAGCAGGACTCTAATCTTCCTCCACCTTTCTGATTTGGGAACCCTAATTCCAGAAAGAGTCCTATGCCATACGCTGGGGAAAAGAATGCTGTGGTCATGAATTTTCCATAAAAACCCAAATGGGGCTGGGTGTGGTGGCTCACTCCTGTAATCCAAGCACTTTGGAGGCCAAGGCTGGAGGATCACCTGAGGTCGAGAGTTCAAGACCAGCCTGACCAACATGGTGAAACCCCATCTTTAAATATATTTAAATATATATTTAAAAAAATTTAAAAACCCAAATGGACTGGTTCAGAGAGCTTCTTGGCTGTCTGGCCCTGCTGGAGATGCTGTGTGCTACAGAATAGTTTTAATAAATTATTTTCTAGCTAAGTCGATTTCTCTTACTTTCAGTTAAGAATTTTAATTTGGCCGGGCAGGGTGGCTCACGCTTGTAATCCCAGCACTTTGGAAGGCTGAGATGGGTGGATCACCTGAGGTCAGGAGTTCAAGACCAGCCTGGCAAACATGGTAAAACCCTATCTCTAAAAAATACAAAAAACTAGTGTGGGTCAAGATGGCCAGAGGGACACCTATGTTAATTCTAGCTAAATAATTATAAGCTTGCTTGGCTGAGAGTGCACTGAAGTTTTACACCAAAATAAACTATATTACTGGTGTAGCTAATTAGAAATCAAGCAGCAACAGGAGGCCTAAGGTAAAGACCATCCGAGAGCACAGTAACACTGGGAACACCTCGGGGTGGTTGCAGAGCAGGGAATACTGCTC